TGTTCCCTGCATTCATTCTAATCATTTTTATAATGCGATATATCCTTGTTTTAACGATGTGGTTATGCTATCCCGCATTTTCGATCGATCCTACTTGTTGAATGCCAGCGAGTGATGATCAAGGTTACGGAGAGCGAAATTTTAAACACGCACTCTAAATTACTGGAATACTTTTGTATTATAAATTTATGAAAAGTTATGTGTTTCTAGTATAGGAGATTTATTGTCCAAAGTTCTTCGCTGCGCGCAGTTTAGCGTGTTGGATCGGAAATGGATCCGATTTGGCTCCGGATCAATGGATAATAGATGCAGTCTATATTTTATAGCACACAACGCCATTTTACACTCAAAATATTCTTATATCCATTTATAATGTAGCATTATAGTAAGATGCGGGTGCATTCTGAAATCATCTAAGTTGACTGTTTGCATTTGCCGCACCAAAACTACTGCGATAACATTTTAGCGCAATGGTCTTCCAAGTCTAATAAGAGGAAGGCGAAAGAGATGTTTGCTGGTTCATTGGACCAATTCGATCAGGATGCGGTCGATGTATGCGAAGTTGTCTTCGATCTTACAGCGAAGCTCAGCCTTGAAGATGAGGTGGTAGAAGATGTTTCAACGAGCGAATCGCACGGATCACCTGTGGGTTTTGTTTTCATTAGAGGTATTTTGCTTTTCATGTTGTTTTTGTATGTAATAAAATGACCATAAGATCATAAGCTCAAATTGCAGATGATTGTACATGAAGAACCTGTTCCATCGACAGAATATTTTGACGAGGTTACGGGAGAGATGGTTACAGTTCCCGGAAAGATGCATAAAGGTGCTGAACTCCGCACTATTGTAGATCCACTCAGTTTTAGCTTTTGTAGAGCCAGCAAATAGTAAAGAAAGGCGAAAAGAACGTAGGAGGAAAGCTAGAGAAGCTATGAAGAATGGTCTGGTTCCTCATGAAGTTGAAAATGATACAAGTGAAGAAGAAGATGAGAGGATACAAATGAGAGAAGGTGAGGATTTTTAAGACAATGATACGTTTTTACGCTTATTGTTGTTAGTATTCTCGTCTTTTTTGAAGATACAAAATTTTTTTT